CCACAGCATGGCTTGATGAGCAGTGTGTTGGTCCGCACCCAGGATTCGAACCTGCGAACCTCGGGCTGCTGAAGCAGAACACGCAAACTTAACCACTACACCACTGGGCCGGCCCCTGTTCCTTGGTTTCTTCATCTGTGAAGTGGAGATTGTTGATGAAAGGATTACGTGGAATAATACATGTCAAATAGAAGCATTCCTGACACACAGTAGGCATTCATAAATGTTATTTTTTATTATTAATGAAAAGTCTCTTATTTTTCTAAGGATATTACTTAACAGATTTCTTGCCATTTTCTTTGGCATTTGTCTTCTCTGCTTTCTGGCTGTTTTTGATCTTTACTTAGTTTCAGACTTCTGTGTTGGAGGTGTTCCTCAAATGTCTGACAATCCTGCGCTATCTGCTCATGAAGAGTGAGGCAGTAAGGCTGAGTGGATGCTCCGTGTACGTGGCAGGGCTCGTCACTGATGAGCTTAACTCTGGGGCGTTTGGCTGGAGACTCCCCACCATGGTTAATGTCTAAAGGCCATTTCTAATCAACAGGCGACTTCCTCTTGAGAGGAAGCCTCCAGTCCACCGCCTGGCTGCCAGCAGTCTTGTTGCTGAGTTGGGTAGGAAGTTCGGGAAATGACTATCCAGTGTGTAGAGTTTCACTTCACCCTTGTTTCCAGTACGTGCCCCACTCCTCCCCAGCTGTACCTGGAATGCCTTCACTTGATTTCTCCAAAGAACAAGCCTCTGTCACTTGTCTCCTCAGTGAGTGGGAGTTCTCCTGACTCCTGGTCCCCCCAGTTCCTGAGCTGGCAGACACTTGGATTTCAGCTTTCTCTGCTGAATCAGTTAGTGTCTGTCCCTCCAACTCTGTGAACTGCAGCTTCTTCATTTTAAGGACTATCAGAAATGGAGAGCAGATTCGGGATAGCCATAGGTCGGGGAAAGGGGGAGGAGGGGACGGAAAGGAGGTGGGTGTGGTTATAAAAGGGCAACACAGGGGATCCTTGTGGTAATGGAAATGTTCTGTATCTCGACTGTGGTGGTGGATACATGAACCCGTATACGTGATAAAATTTTATAGAATTATATACACGTACCACAAATGAAAAAATAAATAAAACTGAGGAAATCTGAATAAGATCATTGGATTGTATCAATGTCACTATCCTGGTTGTGATATTGAACTATAGTTTTGCAGGACGTTATTGGGGGAAATGAGGTACATGGGATCTCTCATTAATTTCTTACAGCTTCTTGTGAATCTACAATTATCTCAATGAAGTTTTCAGTTAAAAAAAGACTATCCAAAGCCAGTAGGTTAACTCAACTATATCACAATAATCTGTTTGCCTATTAAAAATGCAGATTCTCAGGCCCTACCTCAGAGCAGCTGAATAGTAGGAATCTGTCAGGCCGCTACCTGGGAATCTGTATTTCATCAGGCTCCTCAGGGAATTCAGATGGGTGGCTGAATTCAAGAACTGAATTTGCAGTGCTCTGCAGATGAGCAAATAAAATGATATCTTTTTTACCGTGCTTATTTCTATTTAATGGTTAAAGAAAAAAAGGTTGACTTATGACTGGAGTGTTTGGTAGTCCAGGAAGATGGTGGTCCAGTGGGGTTGCAGTTTCTAGGTTGGAGTAGATACTTAAAAGGTGATCTCTTCAGCTACTTCCTCTCGTGTTGAGCTCCTTGCACCTTTGAATCTTAGCAGTTTGTGATTTTTGAGTAGCTCAAAACTTGAGAAATTAAGTAAATTAGATTCTTTTGACAACTTGTTACACTCTTATTACTGTGACCTGATTGTTTGAAGATAGTATGAAACTGTGGGGTGTGTTCCCCATAGAGTCTAGTTAGCTCTAGTGTAAGGGGAAAAGATGCGCCATACTACTGATTGAATCTTTCAGCTCCAAAAAAGGTCACAGAGGTCTCACTTGAGGCTGTATAGCTGCTGGTTGTCCTGCTGACAGTTTTTCCATGGTATCATCATTGTAGGTAAAGGGACTATACATAACTTTTCGTGGTTGTCATCTTTTTCTACTCTGATAGCAGAATTAGGAGCCCTGGAACAAGGGTCAGCAAACGGGCCTGCCGCCTGTTTTTGTCCAGCCCATGAGCTAAGAATGGTTTTTATTACATTTTTAATGGTTTTTAAGGAATCAAAAGAAGAATATTTTGTGACACATAAAAATGATATGAAATTCAGATTTCCATGTCCATAAATAAAGTTTTATTGGAACACAGCAAAGCTCGCTCATTTCTGTATTACCTATGGCTGTTTGCACTGCAGTAGCAGAGTTGAGTAGTTTCAACAGTAGTTGCCCACAAAGCCTAAAATACTATCAGGCCCTGTATAGAGTTTGATGACCTTGCTCTAGAAAAGTAAGGTGAAATATGTGTATTTTCCTTTATAAACTCTTTTTATTTGAAAAATGTGATTTAATAACAGTTTAATAATAAAAGGACATGAACCTGCATATATTCAATTAGAAGTTGTTGGGAAAAATCTAACCCATTAATTTATCCAGGATTAGATTTCTGTTTATCTTTTTTTTCTTTGATCCTTCTTGATCTTCTGTCAGAATTCAAATCTGACTTTCATTCCTCTCAAACTTGTGACTTCTCGTTCTATAAAAGCATATTATCTTGAAAGCGAAAATGAATTGTAAGTTACAGACAAACTCCTGTTTGGCACGTAGAGAAGAAATCTATCTAGTTCCGGTATTGTGACAAGTCCATATTCAAAAGATTATTTCCTTGGGGCCGGCCCGGTGGCGCAGGCTGTTAAGTGCGCACGTTCCGCTGCGGCGGCCCAGGGTTCGGCGGTTCGGATCCCGGGTGCGCACCAACGCACCGCTTGTTAGGCCATGCTATGGCGGCGTCCCATATAAAGTAGAGGAAGATGGGCATGGATGTTAGCCCAGGGCCAGTCTTCCTCAGCAAAAAAGAGGAGGATTGGCATTGGATGTTAGCTCAGGGCTGGTCCTCCTCACAAAAAAAAAAAAAAAAAGATTATTTCCTTGAAATGGAAGAAGAGCGGAATACAGGCGTCTGAACCACTCTAAAATTAAAGACATGTCCTTGTAAACTCAGAATGACTTGATCAGTCATTCTCTGGGACAGTTCCATCTGGCATGGTTGGCACTTGAGCCTAACATTCTCCTCTGCTCTCTTGACTCTTCTTGGTTAGTCTTCCATAGACTTGGATCAGAACCAACAGCTGTTGAGTCTCCAAAGTCACTGGCTCGTTGGAGTTTTTGGTTATTTTGGCCTTGTTTAAAAGAAACAAGAAAATGGTTGAAAAAGTGATGACTTGAGCAATATTTTTAAATTTCTAAAGGCTTCTCTGCCCTCTGGTGAATCAGTTGATTGTCAGTGTTAACACAAATATTTATCATTTACAAAGTTTTTTTGGGGGGGTTGACCCCCTGGCCTAGTGGCTAAGTTTGCGCATTCCGCTTCAGCGGCCCAGGCTTCGCTGGTTCAGATCCTGGGCACGGACCCACTCACTGCTCAGCAAGCCATGCTGAGGTGGTGTCCCGTATAGGAGAACTAGAAGGATGTACAACTATGATACACAACTATTTACTGGGCCTTTGGGGAGGGGAAAAAAAAAAAAAGGAAGATTGGCAACAGATGTTAGCACAGGGCCAATCTTCCTAAAAACAAAAAGTTTTCTTTTGGGAAAGGAAATAAAACCATATTTCACATTATTCTGGAAGTTTTGGCCAATATAATTAGACAAATAACAAAAGAGAGGTAAATATTGAAAGAGCTAATTATTTGCATATGAATGCCTGTCTTTAAAGAACCAACTGAAAACTGTCAGGACTAATGAGTTGAATGAGGTGGCCAATTACGAAACATATAGACATACATCATCAGTTTCTGCCATTGCTACCATCGTCATCTCTTCATGGATTATGTAGTGGCCTCTCCTGACTGCTCCCCCTGCTTCCCTCCGTGCCCCAGCACAGCAGCCAGCGTGAGCCTGTGGAGTTCAGGTCAGACCAGGTCATTCTGCTTGAAACGCTCCAGTGGCTTTGCCATCATTCGTTGTAAGCCAGCGTCCATAGAGTGGCCTGTAGACAGAGTGACCATGTAATTCATCATCCAAACCAGGACATTTTTGGGAGTGAAAGGGGTGCTTAAAATAATTAAAATTATATAATTTTTGATATATTTATTGACCAACACTGGTTTTATTATATTGGAGAACCTATGAAAAGGCTTATCAAAAACTATTTACAGGGCCGGCTCCGTGGCTTGGCGGTTAAGTGCGTGCGCTCTGATGCTGGCGGCCCGGGTTCGGATCCCGGGCGCGCCCCAAGGCACCGCTTCTCCGTCCAGCGCGAGGCCGGGTCCCACGTACAGCAACTAGAAGGATGTGAACCTATGACATACAACTATCTGCTGGGGCTTTGGGGGGAAAAAATGAATAAATAAAATCTTTAAAAAAAAAAAAAAAAGACTATTTACAGAATATTTCCTTTAAAAATATAGACCTGTGTACATTAAAACAAATTTTTAAAATTATATTGATTATGTGAACAGTAAAAGTAGCAGAAGCAGAATCATTGTTTTTGGCATACATTCACATACTTTGATCAGTTTATCAGTTATATTTGTCTCCGGATATTGTGTGTTCTGGTTATGTATTGCTGCATAACAAACCGCTCTGAAACCTAGCGGCTTGCAGGAACAATTTGATTTTCTCTCATGGTTCTGTGGGTTGACTGGACTCAGCTGGATGGTTCTCACATGGGGTCTCCTCATGGAATTGCAGTGCAACAGCAGCTGGATCTTGTCATGTGGAAGACGGTGTCTGCACTCACAGGCCTCTCCTGCACCTCAGCTGGGGTGGCTGGTACAGCTGAGGATGGCCTGGCGTCTCGCCCATGCAGCCTCTCCCCCTGGCGAGCTTGGGTTTCCTCACAACATCGCCGTCTCAGGGCAGTTGGGTTGTAACATATTAGCCAGCTTCCCCAGAAAGCACATTCCAGAGATCTAGACGAAGCTGCAAGGCTTCTCATGACCTTCTCGTGACCTAGCCTTGAGGTCTCCACTGTCATGTCCACTGCATTCTGCTGGACAAAAACCAAGTGCCCAGTCCAGTGTGGAATCAGGGAGAGGACGCTGTGCGAGGATGGGATGGCGGCAGGCGTGACTCACCAGAAGGCCTCCTGTGTGCTCTCACTTCCACACTGTCACCCCTATGTTTCTGAAGACTGTACTTGCCGTGTCTTTTTTTTCTTTCATAACATTGCCTGCCATCTTCATAAAAGTTGCATTTATATTTAGTAAATTTGAATTTTTTGACATATTTAATTGATTCTTCTCTGTATATCATAGTATTCTTAATTGAGAAAATACTCTCTCAATTCTGAATTTCTTCATTTTGGAACTAAGTATTGGCCTAAGTATTTTCCCAAGTATTGTCTTTTGCCTCCATTCAGAGTATATTTCTTTGACAAATTTTTTAACGAATTGTCTTTATTTATGATCTTTTGAATGCTTCCTCAAATTTAGATGTCCCAAAACTATAGGCAGGTCTTTTCGATTTTATTCCATTCCAGGGCAGATATTTAAATAATTGATTAATTAAAAATGACAGCTTCACCAAAAGATTCCTACCAAAAATTGAGATATCCAAAATGCCATTATAGAATTTCAAAATGAAATAAACTGAGCTCTTACCCTTTTATTTGTTCTGTTTTTCCCTCCTCAAGAGATCCATTTCTGGGTATTCTTGGTTACATGCTTTATTTTCAGTGATTGCAATTTCTTAAATATTTTAAAAGCTTCAGGGTTTATTATGCTCCAGTTCTACGAAGGCCCAGACGTTCCTAATACACAGTTTGTAATGCGCTACCATGCTGCAGATTATTTTGTATTGAGAGTCAGCTTCACAAAAAATTATTCTGTTACTCTGTGAATGTACAGAAATATTTGTACAATTTGACAAGGATAGCTTTATTTTCCATAGGTAGAATTACCACAGCTTGGTTTTTTTTGGTTTTGGTTTTGTTTTGGTGAGGAAGATCAGCCCTGAGCTAACATCCATGCTAATCCTCCTCTTTTTGCTGAGGAAGACCGGCTCTGAGCTAACATCTGTTGCCAGTCCTCCTCCTTTTTTCTCCCCAAAGCCCCGGTAGATAGTTGTATGTCATAGCTGCACATCCTTCTAGTTGCTGTATGTGGGACGCGGCCTCAGCATGGCCGGAGAAGCGGTGCGTCGGTGCACGCCCGGGATCCAAACCCGGGCCGCCAGTAGGGGAGTGTGTGCACTTAACCACTAAGCCACTTGGCCGGCCCCCCACAGCTTGTTTTAACACAATTATGCATTATGTGTGCACTATAACTAATTCTAAGACTATTTCTGCTCCATGGATTTCTGGATTTAATAACACTTTTACCGTGATGCTGTACTTCACCAAAATTGGTATTTGAGTATCACCACAAAGAAACAATTTCGCATTCAATGTGGAACTTTTTTTTGTGTGTGAGGAAGATTGTCCCTGAGCTAACATCTGCCAATCCTCCTGTTTTTTTTGTGTTTTTTTTGTGTTTTTTTGTGGTTTTTTTTGCTGAGGAAGACTGGCCCTGAGCTAACATCCGTGCCCATCTTCCTCCACTTCATATGGGATGCCGCCACAGCATGGCTTGACAAGCGGTGCGTTGGTGCACACCCGGGATCCAAACGGCGAACCCTGGGCCGCTACAGCGGAGCGCACGCACTTAACCGCTTGCGCCACCAGGCTGGCCCCTCAATGTGGAACTTTTTGACTGAGTTTACAGTAGCATTAACAATAATGTCAGGTGTTTTGCCTTCAAAAAATCAAATGATAATTAAGCTTAGCTTAACTGATTTTCTATTTGAAGCATGTGGTTGACACTGATATAAAACTGGCACATTAGCAAGTGTGAGTTTCTTCTGCTAATGGAAACAGCTGTTGCTTTATCTCTCATGTGTGCATTACAAACCTTGGAGTGGAAAAATGAGTGAAATTAGCGTAGTAGACAGACTTCCGGTGGATCTAAATGAAAAGTCCTCTTCCACAGTTAGATGTAGATGCTGCTACAGCCTCACTTTTGCGCATGGTCTTCTTGAAAGAATGACTGTTGAAGAAGATGCTTGTGCTTCATTGCCAGATATGAGAGTTACAATTTTCCAATGGTCAGGGTTGGCACTATGGATGGTCAATGCCGAAGAACATTTTATACAAGTTACAAATTTATCAGCTTTCTGAGAAAATGGAGATTTAGTACTTAATTTTTTTCATTAAACATACACTATATTTAATCTCATTGCTGCCTGAAGTTTATCAAAAAAGAAAGTATTACCCCCTCCCAAAGAAAACCCTTGTAGATTTTTATCAGGAGTTGCCAAATTCAGCCCACTGCCTGTTTTTCTATGACCTGTGAGCTAAGAATGGTTTTTACATTTTTAAATGGTCAGAAACAATCAAAAGAACAACAATATTTTGAGACATGAAAATTCTATGAAATTTAGATTTCAGTGTTAATGAACAGATTTTTATTGGAAGAAAGTCAGGCCTAGTCATTTACTGGATAGTCTGGCTGCTTTCCCCTATAAGAGCAGAGTCGAATTGCAACAGAGACCCTATGGCCCACAACATCTAAAATATTTACTGTGGCCCTTCACAGAAAACGTGTGCAACTCCTGATTTAGACCATTCAGTAGATGAGAAAAAACACCACCAAGAAGGTTCATACTGCTCTCTAATTCCTTCTCCTACGGGACCTGCTCACCTCTGTTTCCCACACATGTTCACACACACCTAGAGTTTCCATGAACGTGGCTGAACAGTTGCTTGACAGCTTCTTACATGTCACAGGCCAAGGCACCAGCCACCTGCTTGATGCACCAGATGGACAGCAGAATTTAATACTTACCCCACCACCAACTGAGACTGGAAGGAGTTGGCTGTGCCTAGCTGCTGTTTCAGCAGGCACCTGCGTGCGAGTACTAGAATGGGAGGTGCTGCTCTCATTCCACCTGGGAAAGATGGGAGAAGAGTGATGGGTTATCCTTGTCTTCTCAAGTCACCGTGCATCCCACACACTATTAGATGAGACACTGGCAGGTGCTAGAAGTACAAAATGAAGGCCTGTCCACCAAACCCACCCTGGCTTCTTAGTTTAAGGCAGCTATAGACAATGATAATACTATTGATGATAATAACACTGTTGATAATGATAATACTGTTGGTGGTGATAATATAGTCATACGTCACTTAACAATGGGGATAAGGTTCTGAGAAACATGTCGTTAGGCAATTTCGTTGTTGTGGATACATCATAGAGTATACTTATATAAATCTAGATGGTATAGCCTGTTACACACCTAGGCTATATGGAACTAACCTTATGGGATCACCATCTTATATGCGGTCCTTCGTTGACCAAAATGTTGTGCGGTGCATGACTGTATTATGGATGATGATGATTCTGTTGTTGATGATACTATTATTGATGATGATAATACGTTGTTCAAAAATGAAAATCTGGGATAATTACTAAACTAATCAAAACAGTGGGGTTAAACTGGTATTAGCCCAGATAAACCCACTTCTAACATTCTCCATGATCACCCATGCGTGACATGCCCTCCAAACTCCTCCTCTGCGTTCTCCCTGCCTCTGCTCCAGCCCCAGTGGCCTCCACCCTCCTCCACTAGATACCCACAGGCTCGCCCCTCATTTCCCTCACACGTTTTTGTTCACGTGTCCCCTTCTCAGAGAAAAACACACCCTCCCAAGCTACTTTTGGGGTGATAGAAATGTTCTGTACCTTGATTTTGGAAGTGGTTTCGCAAGTGTATACATCTGTCAAAGCTCATTGAATTGTCTGCTTCAAATGGGTGCAGTTTATATTATTATATGTAAATTAAACCTCAATAAAGTTTTTAAATGGGCTGCAGACAATTTAATAAAAATGTGTGCATGTGGCTGGCCCCGTGGCTTAGCGGTTAAGTGCGCGTGCTCCGCTGCTGGTGGCCTGGGTTCAGATCCCGGGCACGCACTGACGCACCGCTTCTCCAGCCATGCTGAGGCCGTGTCCCATGTACAGCAACTAGAAGGATGTGCAGCTATGACATACAACTATCTACTGGGGCTTTGGGGAATAAATAAATAAATAAAATCTTTAAAAAAAAAAAGTGTGTGGTTATGATTTTATGTGTCAGGTTAAGATATATGCTGATTTGAAAAGTCTTATGACAATAAAAAAATAAACATTGATTTTCTGGGTATGGAGCATTTTTGTCAATCAGCAAAATTTTAGTTTAGTATTTCCTGAGAACATGGTGTTCTGTTTCTCAATTGTCAAATTAATTTTAGAAGGAGGAACAATTTTTAAATTTCCATTTGTTCATAATTCTTTTTTTGCACTTTATCTTTGAAGATATTTTTATGTTTTAAAGAGTTTTAAGGTAGGGCCAGCCCCGTGGCTTAGCGGTTAAGTGCTCGCGCTCCGCTGCTGGCGGCCCGGGTTCGGATCCCGGGCGCGCACCGACACACCACTTCTCCAGCTATGCTGAGGCCGCGTCCCACATACAGCAACTAGAAGGATGTGCAGCTGTGACATACAACTATCTACCGGGGCTTTGGGGGGGAAAAAATAAATAAATAAAATCTTTAAAAAAAAAAAAAAAGAGTTTTAAGGTAGTTTTGTGATGTAAGTGTTTAGAGAAAAATGTTTGATCCATGTAGCTAATTTCTAGGTTTTATGCATTCATGGGTTAAATCTGGAGATGAGCCCAGGAGCTCTAAATCTGTTTAGAGCCATGAAATGGGTCCTCTTTGATTACTAAAAATCAAATTGTGCTCATCTTATTTCTTCTCCTAACACTTGTCTTAGGCATGTCGTTCATCCACAGACGTGACTGGTTTTCTGACTGTGGAAGCTGGTGGTGCTCTGCCGTGGTTTGAACTGTGACATTCATGCTCTGTGGGCTTTGTTGCGCAGACCTGCCTGCACCCAGTGAACGATGCCAGCTGCTAAAGTGTAGTATTGTCTTATTCCGCAAATACCACCCCTGGTGCTGATGGCTTGCTTTTCTGCCCCAGGGGACCATCAGCGTTGGCATTGATGCCACTGACCTTTTTGATCGCTATGAGGAGGAGTACGAAGATGTGTCCGGAAGTGGCTTTCCGCAGATAGAAATTAACAAGATGCACATATCCCAGTCTATTGAGGTAAAGCGCACAGACACCTCCCCGAGTGTGGTGAGGTTCAGGTTAATGAGGTACAGCACGCCAAGCAGCTGGGACGAGAGAATCTGCACAGGGCTTTTCTCATCTTTATTTATGAAAGGATGCAAATAGCCACTTAGAAAAAAAAGCTCCAATCTCAACCTTGTTTGTTACTGCTTTGCCAACATGTTAGCAGCATGAGTGCCAGAGGCTGGGGGGCGCTTAGCTACCAAGGTCTCAGGGCTCTCCAGTCAGAAAGTGCTAATGGGCTCGGAGAAGTGGAAGCCCAAGGTCATGGTGATTTTAGGAGAGAAAGCAGACCTCCGTGGGTAATTCCAAGAATGAGTCTTAGTTTTAAGGCACACTCTATTGTGTGCTGAAAACACAATATTCAGGTGAGCCCTGGGATCACTAAAATGCCATCTTTTTGCCTACTATTTGGATGTGGCAATATTGGGCCATTCTACTGAGGGGTACAATAGGTCTCTACCTCTTCAACTCATTTATTTATTCTCAAGTGTACCAACCTAGAACATGAAGTCCTAACTCAGGAAATTGCCCGCTTCTTGGAGCTACCAGAGTCAGTCAGTATGGCCATGGGAAGGTCTTAAGTCCCTTCTCTAATGCTGGTGGTGGCGAGCAGGGATTGGAGAGCCCAGATGTCCCACAGTGGGAAGGCACATAGTGAAATCACTGTGCAATCTGATGCTGTTGGTACACTAAGAACCAACATGTAGCCCTGTGTTTCCCTTGGTTTTTTGAAATTTGCCCATTAAAGCTTTTGCAAAACATTACCTTGATGGCCACATGCAGTTCAGATGGCAAAGTGAGAGAGAAGTGAAGCTGTTCAGGTAATTCTGCATCCCAACACACTTGAACTGTGGAATCACCTGCACTTTTGGCCTTGAACTTATGATGTATTCATCAGGTTGCTATCCTTGGCACTTCCTATTGCTTTGATTCATTTATAATCAGCAAATATTATTTCCTAGGCACCCTTGACAGCTACAGACACAGCCATCCTCTCTGGAAGCCTCTCAACGCAGAATGGGAATGGAGGGGGTTCCATTAACTTTGCACTCAGACGAGTCACTTCTGCAAAGGGATGGGGAGAGGTAAGAATGTTGACTGGCTGAATCGTGTTGTCCATTGCAAAGCTTTATTTCTGAACATTTACACTCTAAAAGCTAACCCTCAGAGTGACCTGGGTTGGCCACATCATTGTATAACAAGGTACCGGATGTCAAACTTACATAAGTTGACTGTCCCCAGGAGAAAAATATGTTTCATATCTGAGAAGGAATTCTCCAAGTCTGCTGAACAGTTCAAAGTTTAGGATAGAACAACAAGATTTCGCTTGATATGCCAAATTCCAGAAATCCAGCCTGTAGAAACTCAGCATCTTTGTTCCCTTTAAGCAAAAACCTGTTAGCTTACTCTCTTTGCCTACACAATTCAGAAGGCAGGTGCCTCTGTCTCAGTGCTCTGGTCCACTGATTGGTGGTCATTTAACAGCCAGTTCTGCCGAGCAAATTGAGCTGCATCAAATTAACATTGAAGAGCTGCCTTGAAAGTTACCCAGACTAGTAAATGAGGCAGCCAGAACCAGCTGGACTTCCAAGGCTGCTTGGGTGGAACTGCTAATGGGTTTAACATCAGACCCCTGAGAACCATCTCCAGTCACCTGTGAGACCTACTGATGGTGAAGCAGAGCAGAATGAAAATGCAGAGAAGTGGGCACTGCAAGGGAACGGGGAGGGCCCACACCTGACTGCAGCAGGCGCTCTGCAGATGACCATGGCGGCTCTGCCACAGGGAGGGGCACGGAGAGCCAGTCTCTTCTTCTGACTTGAGCTAGGAAAATGAGGATCAGAGGCGAGTGATGTTTTATTTGGAGGCATTCCTTTTTGAAACATGCCTCATTGAAATCTGCCTCCTTTGGATCCATGGAAACAGTCATCTCCACTGGGAAAAGGTTAAGATGAGATATTAAGAATCTTCCAGCCTCTATTTTAGAGCCCTGGCCAGGACTGATGGCATTGAATTAAATGAAGAAATCATAACCAGAGGTGCTTACCTGAGGCCTGGGTTGCTGCCATGAGATAAAACGCCATTAATACTTTTTCTTTTTCTTTTTTGAACAGTTAGAATTTGGAGCTGGGGATCTGCAGGGGCCTTTATTTGGTCTAAAGCTGTTCCGTAATCTCACACCAAGATGGTAAATATGAAGAGATAAATCCTCTTTGATGGTCTTTGAGGACTTAGGAGACCAGAACCTGTGTATTCTTTTTGTCATGGTCATCTGGAGTTATCTTGTCTGTCCTCCAGGGTCACTGGGGGCAAACCCTGCAGCGCTGGCATGGAGCCTAGGCAGTATGCATGTTGCCAAGGGCACTGGATTGGGGGTTCCATTCTTGTCTCAGCCCTGGGCCAGGCTTCTGCCCTGTGGTGCACAGTTTCGTCCTTTGTGGGGACGAGGCTCTTTATCTGCCTGGTCACCGTGGGCTGTGAGGACCACGAGAGACCGGAGGGAAAGTGCCTTCACAGGGAAGTTGGTCAGCAGTCTGAAATATTTATGAACTTGTGGATCATTTCTTTGTCCCAGAGAATGTATGTGAAGTTCTGAAAAGAGGTTTTATTAAGCAGAGAGGCAGCTTGTGAGACTGCTTAGTTACCGGGTAGATTTATAGATGTCAGAACTTTAAACCCCCACCAGCCAATGCTTTCCTTCATCTTTGCTGTTGCAGTGATGTCACACTCCTAGAACTGTACATCACTGTCCCTTCTAGAACAACGGCAGTGTCTTGATTTCCCGTTTGGGGGGGTATCTGTGTGAGCTCAGATAAAAGAATTAGGTGGAAGGTAAAATAAAACCTGTTTCCTCTGGGGGATGAAATAGAGCTAAAGGAGGCCTGAAATGGAGTATGTGTGTGGAAATAAAGGTTGCCCTTCCAGTTGGATGTGTGTCTGCGTGCCTGCCAGGTTCTGCAGGGTCAGACCAATCCCTGCCCTCCAGTCTGACAGTGAAGGCACGTTCGAAGTTGGTTGACACGGGGAGAGTAGGGAAGTGTTGTGAGAGAGAGGATGTGGCGTCTGGGACAGGTGAAGACTGAAGCTTGTGAAGATGAGCCAGCCTGAGCCCGAGCAGAGGCCCGAAAGCAGTGCTTCCAGACAGGGAGCACAGGGTAGAAAGGTGCTTGACGTTGGTTAGAACACAGCTTCTCGGGCCTCTGCCCTAAGATTTGGATTCACTACGTCTGGGAGGGGGACAAGGATTTATACTTTTAACCAGAACTTCAGGTGAAGAGTATATATATGTGTCACTGTTGTCCTAACCATGTCTGCCTAGGGTTGTCACCTCTGATACCGACTAAAAGCAGATTCCTGCCCCTACCCCCAGACCAACTGAATCGGGTCCTATGAGGGAGGATCCTGGGAATCCGTGGTTTTATCAAGCACCCCAGGTCATTCTTAAGATTGGACGCGTTTAGGAGACACTTCATCGAGGAGAATCTGTAGACCATGTCATTCTGGTTGAGTCTTAAGGTGTCTGGCCACTGGTGGTCACCTGGGTCTAGGGCTGGCTGGTCATCAGCTTTTGCAGGTTTGGAAATTGAATTTTGTCATAGTACCCAGAGTTTATCAGACTGGAGAATGCAGATTTATAAACAAGGATGCCACTTTATTACTGTACAGGGTCTGCTCTTCAGGGAGCCCTAATCCTAGGGTCCAGTTATTTACGAGTCCAAACCAGTGATCAGAGAGTGTGGAATCAGCCCCAAGAATGGCAGCCAGTGGAATGTTCTCCATCTCCCAGTGCAGTGCCTGCCTTGCTGATCTCCCCAGAGTCTGTCTCTCTTTCTAGGATGTGCTGGATAAAAATACTAGATCTATTACTTTGACTAAACAGGCATCTCACTCTTTATATTTTGATTCTTTTAAATGTCACTCTGTAACTCTGTCTTGAAATTCTGGGGGTGACTTTTATCTCTCTTTTCTCTCTGCTTGCCTCCCCTGACCCCACTGTGGGTAAAGCAGAAAATTGTAGCCGTTGTCCAGTGTGACTCAAGTGTGAGATAAACGAGAAAAGGTTCGGTGGGGCCTGAGGAGAGTAAGGATTTCATTCTTAGTTCATTCGGCCATGGGAAGCTGTTGGAAGTTTGTGAGTACAGGAGCGAATATGATCCGAGTTATATTTATTATTTTAATGGCAAAAGCAACACCTCCAGAGCTTAGGAAGGAGAGAAAGAAAGTAAACTTAAGCAGTTGTTGGGCTAGTGAATGTTGGGCTGTTGCCTAAAGAAGACCGGCTCTTTGCTCACCTTTAACACCTTGAGTACAGTGGTGTGAATCCCTTTGTTATTCAAATGAAATATCCCTTTTTAACCAGAAGATGGGGCTGACTGCCTTGGAAACAAACTTGAGAGGCCTTTCAGGGGAAACGGTTTACAGTACTAGCTTTTCGAGTAGCTTCAGTCAATAGTACATAAGCGTGATGTACATCAGAATCACATGGGCAGTCTTTTAAAAATATACTGGTGCCTGGACCCCCGCCCAGAAGTTCTAACTTAATTGGTCTGGGACGGGCTCTGTGTCAGTGGTTCTCAAGCTTTGCTGCACATCTAGAATCACCTAGGGAGCTTTAACCCTCCAGGCCTGTACATCAGAACGCCTAGGGCAGGAGCCAGCTATTGGTACTTTCAGATGAGCCAGGGGCCTTGAGCATGCAGCCAAGTTTGGGAGCCTCCCCAGGTGATTGGATCTCCTGGCTTAGGAACACAGACATTCAGGTGCCTCTTGGGTTGCAGCTGAAGTTAGAGTGGGTTGGGGCGGGGAGTGTAGATCAGCAGGGAGGATTCTTGGAAAGTCCACTCTGTCCTCCTCCCTCTGCCTCTCATGACAGAGGCTCGGTCTCCTGCTTTTCCTGCCGGGAGCTGGCCCAAGGGTTAATGGAAGTGGTAATGAGCAGGGCCTTAGCCTGGCAGAGAGGGAGGGGCCCAAGAGCAGCTGAGAGCCAGGTGTCATCCAGGACTCTTTCTATCTGTGTATCCCCTCAGCTTTGTGACGACAAACTGTGCTCTGCAGTTTTCGTCCCGTGGAATCCGGCCTGGCCTTACCACTGTCCTAGCTCGGAACCTGGACAAGAACACTGTGGGCTACTTGCAATGGCGGTGGGGTATCCAGTCGGCCATGAACACTAGCATCGTCCGGGACACCAAAACCAGCCACTTCACTGTGGCCCTTCAGGTCAGGACAGAGCTCCTGCAGGACTGCCTCTTCCTGCTGTCTCAGCGTGTCCCTTGCAGCCTTCACCCTGTTCGCCTTGGCAGAATCTGAGTACCTGAGGGGGCCCTGAGGGGCAGATGGCCATCACTCACACGCAGGAGTGTTGAAATACTGTTGTTCTCAGGCTCCCAGAAGAGCTGTGTTCCACTTATCTTTAAAAAAAAAAATGCCTTTTTCACATCTTCTGGTGGGAGAAGCCCACCGAATCAAGGTGGGAGAGAGCCCTGGTTGATAAGCAACCCCCAAGTATACTCGTGGCCAGGCAGGGGCACGGGGGTGAGAGGCCGCCCCTCACAGGGCAGCTGCTCCGCAGCTCTCACCAGCTGCTGCCGTGTAGGAATGCAGGCTTGTGTTGCAGAATCTTTTATTCTTCATGAGAAGTCAGAAAACTGGGTTTTTATGTGAAACCTCCCAGTTTTTAAATGTTGGCTGCTGGTAAATTGTCACACGGTTTGTGCAGCTACCATACTGTGGCGCCTGCCTGAGAGGCCTGCCCAGCATGGGTGCTCAGTGCAAGGGCGACACCTGCCTTACCAGAGTCTCGGCTGCTAGCCATACCTTCTTTTTCCCCCTCTGTCTTCTCAGCTTGGAATTCCTCACTCCTTTGCACTGATCAGCTATCAGCACAAATTCCAGGATGATGATCAGACTCGTGTGAAAGGATCCCTTAAGTAAGTCCTGGCCTGGCTGACCACAAAAGCATACCTGATCTGTGTAGGGGTTTCTGATGGTGGAGCCGGTTGATGTAAGATGCCTGCTCGTGTTAATCTCTCCTGTCTGTAAGATTTCTTGAGTGCCTCCTATTGTGAGGCAATGGGATTTACCACTGTGCAGTCCCAGTCCTTGAGGAACTTTGAGTCTAATGGAAGAACTGGACTGAGGGTATCAGTTGTGAATCTGCTCCCTGTGGGTGGTGGGGAGGGCAAGAGGGAAGGATGGGATGGGGGACCCAGCCATTGTTCTGAGTGACAGTTGCCCATGGTGAACGGGAGGGATCCGGGAGCTGAGGGGCCTTTGCTCACTCACTGCAATCTGCTCCTGCAGGGCAGGCTTCTTCGGGACGGTGGTGGAGTACGGGGCAGAGAGAAAAATCTCCAGGCACAGCATTCTAGGTGCAGCCGTCAGCGTTGGAGTCCCACAGGGCGTTTCTCTCAAAGTCAAGTAAGTTGAACTGGGTATTTCTGGCTAAGGATTATCTGGCAGCTTGTAACGCAGTTGGGCCTCTCCTAAGTTAACGATGAAATAGACTTTGCTCTGAAATTTTGTTCTTAAAGATGCAGTTGCTTCTGTCTTTGCTGTGTAAGCAAATGTCAGGGAGCTCATTAGCCCAACATTCAAGTGAGGTCTGCGTTCAGAGAACTTCCATATGCTCTACCAGCCCATCTCCCAACCTGCCTGCATCTCTTACTACTCTCTGCCTTCCTTGATGGCCCCGCACGTCCCCTCACCGCCCCGGCAGTTTGCACACATACGGTGTCATCATCAGCGCACTAGGTCTGAATTGCTGCAGTATCCTGACTGATCTCCTGCAGCCCCTGTGACACTGCTGTCCACACAGGCAGCCTTCTTAACATTCCAGTCAGTGTATGTCATCCTTCTGTGACTCCCTCAATTCAGGGCAAAAGCCAGAGGCCTTTAACACCCTCCATGATCTAGCCACTTGCTATCCTTCCTGACCTCCTCTTTCCCCATCTCCCTCGTGCTCACTCCACTCCAGCCACACTGGCCTCGGAGCTGCTCCTGGAACACACCAAGCCCACTCCTGCTTCCGGACTCGGCATTTGCTCTTCTCAGTCCCAGATTACTACCTGGCTGGTTCCTTCGACTCCTTCCGATCTCTGTTCAAATGTCAGCTAATTGCCAAAACCATCCTTCATCACCCCGCACCTTGCCCCAAGCAATCTCTTTCCTTCACTCTGTTTATTATTCTGCTTTGCACCCATCTCCATCTGCTCTTCATCAAAAGCTCAACTTAACATTTTATTCTTTTCTGTACTACTAGAGCCTAGAACACAGCCTAGCACGTAAGAAAGACTCAGTGAGTGAGTCAGAGAGAGAAAAAGGAAGCAGATCACATCTCACTTTTGGAGATGAGAGCCAAACCAGGTTACCCAGGTCAGAGCTGGCATCATGCATCTCTCCTCTCACATAAGATTTGAGAACACCTGAGATTTAATCAAGGGCATACAGAGAACTATCAGATTTTCTGCATTCTAATCCTTTTCTTCCCTCCCCAAATTGGGACCACTAATGAGGCACCATTCTCTGTGATTCAGTTTCTGTTTTTAAATACTTCTCTGCAGATGTTTCATGACATAATCTGAATCCAATTCTCATCCCAAGAATGCCACTCTGCCTCTTTGGAAAGAAGCATTTTCATTTCAACTGAGTTTCCTGTGTAACAGGCTGAGTTGTCCAAATTGTATTGGTATGTAAACCAGAGTTTTGCCAGAAGGCACCAGAGTTCAGCAACAACAGATGATCTTACTTTGCTAACTTTTCTCTTATATTCTGTTTATTTGATCAATCACAGTAATTTTTGAAAGTTAAACCAACCTTACATTCCTGAGGAAAGTTCCACTTGATCATGACATAGAATACTTTTTATATATTGCTTGATTTGATTTGCTGATAACTTACTAAGGATTTTTGCATCATTTTTTTTTTAATAATTTTATTTATTTATTTTATTTTTCCCCCCAAAGCCCCAGTAGATAGTTGTATGTCATAGTTGCACATCCTTCTAGTTGCTGTATGTGGGACG